TGCTGATGTTGAAGCTGAAGCTGATGCTGATGCTGATGCTGATGCTGATGCTGGTGTTGATGCTGGTGTTGATGCTGGTGTTGGTGCTGGTGCTGATGCTGATGCTGATGCTGATGCTGCGGCTCGTCCTTCCCGTCCACATCGTTCTCCTGAGCCTGTCTTTCCAACGCCTGTTGCCGGGTCGGGGGGAAACTCAAGGGGAAGCCGGCTCCGGCAGGGTGAATGGGTGGAAAGCCCTGCGGGAGGAAGGATGCCAGCGGGTGGTGCGGATAGCCGGGCGGGAACTCGTTCACCTCGCCGGCTTGAATCTGCTCCGGGCTGAGCTCCGTCGGCTCGCCGGTGTGCAGCCGTATGTGTTGCTGCAACACCAGCGCGTTCGTGAATTTCTTGTGGCAAACGGGGCACTGATGCAACACCCTGAGCGGCGGCTTCGCCCTGTGCACGCCCATGTGAGTCTTCAAGTTACCCTTTGTGGTGAACGCCCGGCCGCAGATCTTGCACTTGAACGGCCGCTCGCCCGTGTGGGTCCTGTAATGCATCTGCAACGCGCTTTTGCAGGACAAGACTCNTGGCAAATCACGCACTGGTTCGGATCGGTCAATTTGTGCTCGATGTTGTCCACCAGTTGCTGCAACTTGGACGTTTCCGAGGTCTTGGTGATCTCGATCAAACTTTCCCACGAGTTGTCGTTGCTGCCCGGCCGTGGCAACAGGCTGGAATAGATGGCTGGATCCTTGGCCGGGTCGATCATCTCGTTCGTATTGACGGCGGACGTGTTTACCGTAGTTGGGGCTGGATGGTGCGGTATTTGGTGATGCGCGGGCGGCCCTGGGAACAGAATCCCCGCGAAGGATGTTTGAAGGCTACCGCTGCTCGCGCTACTGCTCGCGGGGGATGCCCCGGGATACGCGACAATGTGTTGCGGCAAACGATTAATCGTTCCCCGACCGGACAAATTTTCGGGCTGTTCCTCGATCTCCTCGTCGACCTCCATGTCGGCGTCACCTTCGAGTCGGCCGCTCATCTTACTGTCCATGCTACAGTCTTCGTAAGTCTGCGGTTGAGAGGGTGGATTGACAGAGGATTGGGGTGAATTCAAATACCGTCTGGTCGTCTCTTCGAAATCCTCGCTATCCTCCTCCGTCGGCTCCTCGGCCTCCTCCGGCTCTTTCTTAGGCGTTATCCTCTCGGTGGGCTCGTGACTCGTGGGCCGTTGGTGTTGATACTGGTCCTGCATAGGCGATCGGTGCTCGAGCTTGATCTCGTCCCTTTGCTCGAGTTGTTGCTGCTTTTGTTGCTGTTGTTGTTGTTGTTGTTGTTGTTGATGATGTTGTTGTTGTTGATGATGATGTTGTTGTTGTTGTTGTTGTTGTTGTTGTTGTTGGTGATGGTGGTGATGATGGTGGAGGTGATTGTCGTGAAAGGAATGACGAGAGTTGGACACAACCGCGGGGGAATGTGGGGACGTGGTCGGGGCAGTGGTAACGGGTTTACTCAAGTTCTCCGGCACGTCCTGATCGTCCCGATGAGCAACAACCGGCGATCTGTACAGGGGCGGCATA